GGTAACGGAAAGGTTAACGTTACTTCGTCTACGACGTACGTACCCGTACCCGACCGACACTCCTCTCTCTCTCTCTCTCTCTCTCTCTCCCTTCCTCCTCCTCTCTCTCTCTCTCTCCCCCACAGACTCGCTTTCTGACTCAGAGTGAGCGTCCACCCCACTCCGGGCTCTTTTCCCGTCCGCTCCGTGTCCTGGAGCAGATGAACTGAATTAGCCGTGCCGACTCCAGTCCTCCAGCCAAGCCCGCGTGCCTGGGAGTCACACCCCAGGACCCGGCCCTGGCCACTGGGGCCAGGGCCAGCAGCCGCCGGCCAGACCCGTCCTCCCGGGACAAGCTCAGAAGGGGAAAGGACACGCTGCTCGCTGGTGGCTGCCCTGGGAAACTCGTCACTGCTTGTTTTCCTCCTCGACGGATTAAGGAAGGAGACTCAGAAAGTGACAGAGCATCACTGGCCTCGCCTCTGGCCAGCTCTCACTTGTCCTGTGACATTTCCCAAGAGCCAGCTAACCTTTCCTGCCACAAATAGACTGACATGGGTCCCTCGAGGCTGTCTGGCCTGCACAGGGCTCTGTCTTAGGGGAGCTGGGGACCCAGGGGACATTAAAGGCAGCCAGATACAGATAATAACCAGGCAAGAGGGCAGACAGTTCCGTGGGATCAGCGGCGCAGAGGGGACTGAGGGGCTCAGCGCTGGGGGGGCGGGGGAGCGAGCTGCAGGGAAGCAGAGGCCCAGCAGAGCGAGTGGCCACTGGGACCCGCTGCCCCACGAGATGGTGAGCTCCCTGTCCCCGGAAGAGGACAAGTCGAAGCCACGCGGCCACCCAGCAGACAGGCCAGAGGGTCCAGGGCACAGCGAGGTCTGAAAGGTCCCACTCAGCTCTGAGTGTCTGTGAGCCTGATGCTCTCACAGGATTTCAGGATTCTGGATCTTTCTGACAGGGAATTGGGGAGTTAGGCAGCCACTGTCTTGTCAAGGAGTAAGGCTGCAGTGGTCAGGGAGGGCATCCTGGAGGAGATGTCAGTCAAGTGAAGAGCTGGGGGGAAAGGGTCATAGTCAGAGGGCACAGCATGTGCAAAGGCCTGGGGTCAAAAGGCTGGTAAGTTTGAGGATGGGCCTCGCTGGGGAAGCTGCTGCACTCTCTGAGCCCAGGCTTATCCCCTGAGATCCACAGCCATGTCCACAGCCGTGTCTCTTTCTCCAGAGAGCGTGGGGCCAGTCGGCCAGACCGGAGCCATGGAAGGGATCTGTGAGTGTCACCTGCCATCACCTGCAGGACAGGGCCCTTTGTCACAGGGTCGAGCTCCCCTAGGGATGGAGTACGCGCCATGCAGACAGGCAGAGATGTGGATCCTGTCCCGAAAGCTCTACGCTCCCATGGTTTTCATGATAAAATCAGACATGTGGTTTTGCAGAAGGATATGGAAGACCCAAGTGGCCGGTGCTTGGCAGGGGTGACCCTGGACTGGCGGCTGCAGTAGACCAACTCTGGCCACACCCACCAGGCGTGGGCAGAGCAGGGGCCCCGGGGCCCGGGTTCCAGTCCTGGTCCCCACTTGCCATTCTTCCAACGCCTCATTCCCTGATTAAATCTGTCTCTGCTGGAAATACTGAGAGCTGTTCCTACGTCACGCTCTGAGCCCAGACCAAGGCTGCAGCTGCATGGGGACCAGAAGCTCCTGCACCCTCTCCCGCCACCTGCTTAGCTGCTGCATGCTGGGAGGTGATTCTGCACAACGGAGGTGTGCCACTCGTGCAAACAGGGACAGACTCCCGGGCTAGAGAGAGAGGACCAGGGACCCCGGGGCTCTTTCACGGAGCGTAATCTCCCTCCTCCCCTGGAGGAGGCGTGCTTGCTTTCCAGGTTGAGAAGACCACATCTCCCCTGCAGGGCTCCAGCAGCTCCTTCATACCATCAAGGGCTTCCTAAACTCTGGGCTCCTTACCTGGGAGTTTTTGCCGCCTGGGACGTGGGGACAGAGGACTGATGGAGGCATTCTGTGCCTTGTTCCCTTACTGGTGGAATTTCAGGAAGTGCGGCAGGCAAATGTGACCAATGCCTGACCCCTTGACCCCAGCCCGTTTTGGACACTTGCATCCCCCGGTGGGCCCCCACCAGCTGTGGCCTCGCAGGTCCTGCCTCCTGGGCCTTCTCCCGTATCACACCCACTATCTCACCCACAGTCCAACCACTTGTGTTCTTCAAACCAGCAGAGCAAGTTCCTGCCTCAGGGTCTTTGCATGTGCTTATCCATCTGCCTAGAACCACCTTCCCCAGGTCATCACATGGCCAGCGCATCCTCACCTTTCAGGGAGTCTCAGCCTAAACGTGCCCTCCTCAGAGAGGCCTGCCAGGGCGCTTTCCCCAAAGTGGCCATTCCCTCTTCCTGCCCCAGTCACTCTAGCACATTCGTTCATCCTTTCACCAGATGGGGACCTACCGCTCACAGGTACGTCTGGGCTCAGGACACAGCTGAGGGCAGGCACCCAAAGCCCCTGCAGTCCCAGCGCTGACGTTCTAATGGGGAGACAGAAAAGCAACCGAATGCACGCATGGATGCTGGGAGCTCGGGTGCTAAGTGGCGGGGAGGACGGGGCCGCAGGGGATATGGGTGGGGGATGCGCTGTCCCGTTGCGTTGTCCGATGCTCTTTCTCCTTCACATGTCACGTTGGTCCTGGTCCTCTGGGGAGCGCACGCCAAAGAGCCATTGAAAGTGCAGAGACATTCAATCCCCAGCACCCCCATTAAAAATAAATACAATAAATAAACTTGGTGCCTGCCCCCTGAAAATACCCAAAATTTAAATAAAAAGCATAGAGACGTTATTGCGGGAGACGACTGCGAGAGGTGATGGGGAGGTGGCAGAAGCATCAGTAGAGACACAAGTGTGACCTCCCCCCAAGGGAGGTCGGGTGGGAACATCCTGGCCCCGTCTGGTCTAGGAGGGTTCGGAAGGCTTTGGGGCAGTCCCTGACTCAAAACTGACCGTCAGAAGGGGCCCGGGCACCCCAGAGATGGGCCTGCCACCAGGCCCCGACTGCGGAGGGGCAGCTGTGGTAAGTGCAGTCTCTGCATCGGCGTGCTGATGGGTCTCAGCGGACCCTGGATCAATGACGCGCCCTGTCGTTGGAGTCCACGGGGAGTGTCCCTGCCCTGCCTGTGTATGCATATGGACCATCTCCACACCAGAGCAGCCCCTTCAGAGAGCGGGCGCCCTGCCTGTGCCTGGAGCCCAGCACTGAGCTGACACCCAGATACTCAGGTGATGAGTGAATCAGGTCGGTAAGTGGCAAATATGGCCCAAGCACTTCCAGCCTGTGTGCATCCTCTGCAGCTCGGCCCCTCCTCCATCAGGAAGCAGAGGCTCTTTCTCCGCCCCGTAGAAGGGAGGCCGCGTGGCTCCGTTAGCCAGTGGGCATCAGCCAGTGTGATGCCAGCAGAGGCTTGAAAAGGCAGTGCCCGGGCGCATTCTCTCACAGCGGGAACCTGCCTCTGCTCCGTGGGGGACCTCCGGCTGACCCGCAGCCCAGCACCAGATGTGGGAGGGAGGCCATGTTCCTGCCCCAACTCCAGCTGAGCCGCCAGCTGACCGCAGAGACCAGCCAAGCCAGCTGGGACCCAAGAAGCCGCCCACTTGGTCTGGGGAATCTTGAGCTGTATAAGGTAGTTGTGTTTTAAACCACTAGGCTTTGAGGGCTTTTTTACGTGGCTGAAGCTACCCAGCAGTTTTCTCCTCTTCCTCGGGGTCTTTGTTGGCCCTGGAGGGTGAGCTTGAACTCAAGACCCTGGTCCACCTAGAGTCGTGAACACCGCATCCGTCCACGCCTCCGGGGCAGAGAGTCCTCCTTCATCAGGTGTGTAAGTTCAGTGGGTCACTTTTGCTTGGGAGGAGGAATTCCATGTTGCAACAATAAACACTTTGCCATTTGTCACCTTCTAAACTAGGAAACAGATGGTGCAATAATTTACATTGTCCCACTTCTCAGTGAAGCCACTAAAGGACACCAGCCCGGCCGTGGGAAGGGCAGGTGGAGAGGGGCCCCCGCTGCTCAGCCCTGTGGGTGGGGTGGCTCCCAGCAAGGGCCCGGCCGTGCATGATGGACGCAGACACACCTGTTCACCCAACTCTGTCAGCACCCACAGTCCTCAACATTTAAACATCTGCAACCTACAAGGGAGTTGCAGGGACAGGACCTTGAGTGCCCGAATCCTGACTCAGTTCCTCACCGCATCATGTACGCACACTGCATCAGTTTGCAAAACCAGTTAACGCTGATCCGAGGACGTTGTCTATACATAGCCAATATTCGAAACCTCTAGAACATCCTTTCTAGCCATATTGTTTTGATCCGGGTTCCAACAAGAACACACGTGGTGTTTGGTTGCTGGGGCTCGTGTGTCTGGTTTTTCCTTTAAAGACCCTGATGACCCTGAAGGGGTCAGGTCAGTTTCTGCAGACGGCACCACCGTCCGGACTGGCCTGGGGTCCAGTTCAGCCTAGGCGTTCCAGGCACCAGCACTGTAAGGGATGCTGGGTCCTTCTCAGCACGTCCCGTCAGGGACACACCATGTCCGTGCATCCCTTTCCAGGTGATGCGAAGTTGGATCACTTGGGTGAGGGGCGCCCCGGACACCCCCACTCTGAAGTTCCCTGTTGCCTTTGTCACTCGTGGGTCAACCAATGGGTGTATCTGTGAGTGCGAATCTCCTGTTTCCCAACAGCCTTTCACTCGAGGGTCTCAGCACCTGCTGAATGTCCTCTTGCTGCTGTAACAACTTACACAGAGCGTGGAAGTGTCCTCTCACGGCTCTGGAGACCGGAAGTCTGAAGGGGGTCTCACTGGGCCGAGGTCCCGGTGATGGCAGGGCAGGCTCCTCCTGGAGGTTTCAGAGGAGAATCGTTTCCTCCCCTGTTAAGCTTCCGGAGGCTTCCGCGCTCCTTGGCTCTCGCGTGGTCCTCGCTCCACCTTCAGCCGCTGCCTCCATCGTCACACCATCCTTCCTCTGGCTCATCTGCCTCCCTCTTCTGAGGACACTTGTCACTGCATTTAGATAAGCCAGAATCTGCCACACTTGAAAACCCTTAACCACTTCTGTAAAGTTCCTTTGACCGTATAAGGCAATATTCACAGGTTCTGGGAATTAGGGCGGGTCTGGGGATTAGAGACACTTCTGGGGCCATTTTTCAGCCAACCACAGCATCCTTTGACTATCCTCACTTGAATGAATCAGTATCACGTGGGGGTGGTCAGAATGGGGGGGTCTGAACGGATCGCCTCCCTAGCATTTACTAGCTGGCACTGTTCTGTGCAGAAGTCCTCCCTTCGTTTCAGCATCTCTGTGGACTCATGAAGACTTCGACGTTTGATGTTCATTGTAGTATCTCCCAAATTTGGCCACTGGGAGCCCCTGCCGCCTGGCCCAGGTGTCCCTTGACCTGCCCCCTCACTCTCTGGGGGCTTCTGGGCTTTCTGGCTCCCATGGTGTCCCGGGCTCACCTTGGCCCAGGTCCGGAGTCCGGTCCGTTTGTAGGCCGGCTCCAGAAGCCCTCGCGCGCTCCCAGCTGTTGGGCGTCGTTACCTTGAACTCGTCTCCCTGCTCAGAGCTAGGAAATGGATTTTCTTGGTTTTGAGCAGGAATTTTTCTGCTGCTTCCAATTCAAACACAAGCCCCAAGGGCCTGCATTGCCCTCCCTGCTCTACGACCTCACCTCCCACCACCCACAGAGAGAACCCTGGCCCCCAAGAAGACCTCCCTCGTTCGGTCAGCCTTCGACGCGCACACAGTATTTTCAGAATCGCCACACTCATACTGCCGCTTGCAACAGCAACGACCCTGTAACGGGAAGCTCAAGGCTTCAGATCAGAAAACCACGTTCAAGAAAAGGTATGTGGTCTCCCTTCTGTCTAGTTATATTAGCAGTTGATTTAGGTTCATTTGGGCTTTTGTTTTTAAATTTCTGAACTCCTAAGTATTTTTAATCAAACTATAGCTGATTTACAATGTTTCAGGTGTACAGCAAAGTGATTCAGTCACACATCTATATGTGTGCACACATACATTCTTTTTCAGATTCTTTTCCATTCTAGGTTATTACAAAATGTAGAATATAGTTCCCTGTGCTGTACATTAGGTCTTTGTTGTTTATCTGTTTTATATATCATTGGTCTTTGAGTTCAATTTTAGGGTTTTTAAAAAAAAACTTGTTGATTTAATTTTATTTTCTGAATGTGAAAAAGGTCACATGGTTCAAAAGTCAAAACAATATGAAAAAGACACTCAGAGAACTCTCATCTCACCCTGATGGTAACCGCGTGCCTACATCTGGGTTTTCCTTCCTTCAAAATCAAACTCCCTCTCGCCCCGTCTCTCTCTCTCAGGAGACTGGTAGATGGTTGACAGAGAGCGAGAGGGCTGGACGGGTGATAAACAGGGCTTGTTTGTTGGGCGGGGGGGTACTCGCGCCTCTCCCTTCCGAAAGGCAGCACGCCATCCGTGCTCCTTTGCACTTTGCGCATCCAGTTAAGGTTTTGAAGGAGCTGGTCTGAAGCCAGGGCCCCTGCTCCCCGGGAGCCCTGCTCAGGGAGTGGGAAGCAGGACCACAGGGCCACTCCAGGGTTGGCTTCTGGGCAGTGCCAGCCTCAGCTGGATCCCGCCGGGAGCTCTGGGGCGTAAAATCCAGAGTCCTCAAATTTTGTCCTGCCTCAAGATGAGAGCCGGTTCTCTCTCCAGCCAGCCATCGCCACCGGGAACAGACTCCATGGGCTGGGAGAAGTCCCCCAAGGGTCCCCCGGTGCACCTGCAGCAGGTAGAGGGGCTCACAGGAGACGTGAAGGGGACTCAGGGGACCTGGGCAGAGGGCCCACAGCCGGGGGACTAGGCAGTAATCAGTGATCATTAAGCTGAGATTTCCCCCAGCATATTTTAAAGACGTGACTCCCAAGGAAGGAAGACCCAGGAGGATAAATAAAAATAAATCCACATCCAGACACATCAGAGTGAGACCGCAGACGAGCACAGCAAAGGGAAGGCTGTGCAGCAGCCAGGAAAGCGAAGCCAGCTGTCTCTCCGGGCTGACAGACTCGCCGCCGACCTCTGTTCCGTAAGTGACTATCGGATGGATGGATGGATGTAGGATAGGGAGGGGGTGGAAGGAAGGAAAGAAGGAAGGAAGGAAGTGTAACAGAAAAGAACAAATCTGACTCCATATCAGCTCTGCTCCTTTGACTTTAACCCTGGGCTCTGCTTCCTGGGCTCAGTCTTGCTGTTTCTGCACCTTTTGTGAAACAACATTGCCTTTAGCCTGAAATGTACAGGACAGCCTATTCTCAAGGCTTTGACTTCTAAGGATACTTTGCCATTCATACAGCGATAACAGCTTGCAGAATAGAAAATAACATTTATTTTGTTGGAGGTTTACAGGAACACCCTGCTCTGACCCACGTGGACAGCTGCAAGAACAATGGATTCCAAGAACAAAGAATTCCTACACCAAGAAGTTTGCAACAACCAACCACACCCCCTCCCCTCTTTAGTGTAAAAGGAGCCTGAATTCTGACTTGGGAAGATGAGTCTCCAGGACATTAGTCTGCCATCTTCTGTTTGCTAGCTTTCCAAATAAAGTCATTATTCCTTGCCCCAAAACCTTGTCTCCCAATTTATTGGCCTTCCGTGCACTGAGCAGAACAAGTCTGGACTTGGTAACAGAAGGAAAGAAGGAAGAGAGGAAGACGCTAGATAGTGGATGGTCGGATGATGGATACACAGGGGGATGGATGGGAGGATGGATGGATTGATTTTTGACTGGATGGGGATGGGTGGCAAGTAGATGGGTTGATGCTGGATGTCAGATGGGTGAGTGAATGGATGAATGGGCATTTGAGTGAAGAGGTGGTGGATGGGCAGGTGGTAGATGGATGGATGAATGGACGGATGGATGGATGTTTGAGTGAATAGGTGGTAGATGGTGAGGGGATGGGTGGATCATAGAGTGACTGGCCAGCACGGAAGCAGCCACGGTGCCAGGGTCTGCACGACGCTCGATCGGTCCCTGCGTGACCAGCTCTAGGCTGGGCACAGGGGGAGTGGGCTGGGTGGTCCTGGGCAGCCAGCCAAGCCATCATCAGAGGGATTGAGATGACCCCCAGACTAGGCCCCCCCATAAGCCCACTGTCTCCACCTCCCCTCTGATGGCTACAGCCCCAGCCTGGACCCTGGGGCTGTCCCCAGGCTCTTCTGGCCACGCTCACATTTTATCTTTCCTATTTACTTTCATTTCCTACCGTAAAGAGTGACTCATGGTTCACGGTGACACTGAGCAGAGCCACACCCTGTGCCGCCATTTACAGGGCTGACTGCTTACCTGTTCCCCTGGGAAGCTGGCGGGGGCCTTGTGCCCCCACCCCCGAAGAACAATGCTTCTCTGCGCACTCACAGCCCCTCCCATAAGTCCCTCCTTGAAGTGTCAGACTGCATGGAGCCCAGCTCCTGTCCACCCAGCCTCCTCCCTGTGCTCAGCTCGGGGCTCGGCGCAAAGAAAGCTCTCAATACACACGAATGATGCTGAGACTTCACACAGTGACGACGATGTTCCCGGGGCAGGGGTGGCTCGGGAGGACAAGGGAGAGAGGCAGGCTCTCGGGGCAGGACTGACCACACCGGCACCCCACCCAGGTGTGTGCAGGAAGCACAAGCAGGGCGAGTTTCCTTCCCTTCAGAGTGACGATGCGAACAAAGTGACGGGACTGTAGCAGGTGCCACTAACTGTACACCTCCCTCCCACACTGAGGCCAGAAAGCGACACTACAGTTATTATCCCTCCAGCGGCCCTGCCTCCACGCAGTATTCCAGAAATAGCAAGCAGCCCGCAGAGCTGCAGGAACCTACATGGCAGTCGTTGCGGCTCTGCTTCCACGCACGTCACTGGTACAAAGCTTTGCCAGGAGGATGTAATTTGCACCCCAGGCTGCGGGGGTCAGAGCTGCCTGGTCACGTTGATGCTGGGAACGCAAGCACTGGCTGGCGAGTAGGAGAGGCACATTTGGAGTCTGCACCTACCTGTCTTCCATGAAGCCCTCTGCACTCAGGGCTTGCTTGCCACTTCCAGCTGTGTGACCTTGGGCAAGTGTCTTTACCCGTCTGAGCCTCAATTTGCCCCTCTATAGAAGAGTGACCAAGGTTATGATGAATATTAGCAATAATATACCCATTATGGCTTGGTTTGGCTGCTCGTAACAGAGCAATCCCAATAAAACAGGCATAAACAAGATAGAAGCTTATATCTTTCATAAGTGAAAAAAATCTGAAAGTGACCAATCCAGGGAGGCACAATTGCTCCACAATGTCCTCCAGGAACCAGACTCTTTCCATCTGCTCCTCCCCATCTTCAGTGCATGACCTCCTTCCCCAAAGTCACTTCATGTTCCAAGATGGCTGCTGGAGCTCCAGCCATCAAGACCATGGGACAGGAGGAAGAAAGTTGGAATAGTACATGGCAAGTAAGCCACCCCAGGAGTCGCAGCTGCGGCAGCTACCTTTCAAGCAGCCTTCCTAGAAGTCTCATGGAGAAGATTTTTATTTCATTGGCCAAAACTCAGTCACTTGGCCACACTTAGCTGCCAGGGAGGGAGGTTTGGAGATGTAGCCTTTTATTCTGACCCACTACATGGCCAGCTGAAACCTAGGGTCTGTTTCCACAGAGGAAGGGGAACAGGGATGTTGGGGTGAACAGAGTTCCCGTGCAAGGCAGACCCATAACAAATAGAGCCACCGCTGTTGCTAATGTCGTCAGCATCCCCAGGGATGGCCCACAAAACCGCCTTCCCTGAAGTCACCTGCCACACACGTCACTGCACACACCACACCACCAACATCCAGCCCAGGCTGGTCCTCGCTGCAGCCTAGAGGGGCCAGGGTGCGAAGGGGACAAAACTACACCCAGAGAGAGGGAGCTAAAGGGCTGAGCTGAGAGGCATATGTTACTCATCAGGAGGAAATCCCAGAGGGCTGCCTGGAGGGGGCAGTTTGCAGCCTCTCATTTGCCCTTCTCCCCCCTCCCTTCTCTCCTGCTCCTCTGTCATCTCTCTCCCCACCTCGCTGTAGAAGGATGTTTGTACCCCCCAAATTCCTACCTCACCCCCAATGTGGTGGTCTATGAAGTGATCAGGCGGGAAGCATGGGGCCCCCATTAAGGGATTAGTGTCTTCATCAAATCAGGAAGAGAGGGGAGATCCCTCCCTCACTCCCGCCCTGCCAAAAGCACCTCGAGGAGGCTGCGAGGTCTTAACCAGGACGGAGCCTCACCCGAGCCCTCCCTGACCCCGAACTCTGCCGGCAGACCGTGGGGAGTGAACTTTCGCTGCTCGGGCCCCTCTGCGGTGGTCCGCTGACGGCAGCCTCAGCCTGCCTGGGAGGAAACACACACCTGCTCTCTCGGGAGGACCTTGCAGGGGAGCCGGGAGCCTGTGACCCGAGGGCGGGACAGGCTCCCCGCCGAGGACCACGGCTCTCTCAGACAAGCCTGAATCTCTCCTCATGTCAGCCCTTTGGGGCCCCAACGTAGGGGCAGGCTCAGAGTTGGGGAGCTGGGCTGGAGATCTCTTTCCCGTGGCTTCTGTGTCAGGGGCTTGTCTCACGCCCACTCCAGTCCCTGAGTTGTGTGAACTGAGCATTGAGAGAGCCCCCTTCTCACACAGTCATCTTTTTACTTGATTATTCAGGGATGCCCGAAGTGTCTAGTTAAACATTTTTCCCAGTATTTTCTCACAAACATCATCCAGCATGCCATAGGGCAGAAACTGTTCCGCCAACACCCACACGACCTCCCCTCGACTGTCAGCGTGTTTTAAACTCACTTTATCCCACTGCCATCCACATACCCACCCCTCTGTCTGTCCACCAGCCCACCTGGCTTCCTGCCACACGTCCAGGGAAGTGTAGACACCAGGACCCTTGTCCTCTATAAACAATTCCGAGTGCACATCACTAACCAGAGCTCAACACTTGCTTCCACATTTAAGCAGAATTTAACAAGACAACATCAGTGTCCCGGGCTAACATGATGGAGCACCGTGGACTGGGCTCCTGTGTCTCCACGTCCAAACTCCTTCTGCTCGCCCCACAACAGGCCGATACATCAGGAGACAAGGGGTGGGGGCGAGGAATAACGACTTTATTCTGAAAGCCAGCAGACCAAGAAGGTGGGGGAATAATGTCCTAGAGAACCATCTTCCCCAAGTCAAAAATCAGGCTCCTTTGATACTAAAAAGGGCAGAAGGGTGTGCGGTGTGGTTGGCTGTTGCAAACGTCTTGGTGTCAGAACCCTTTGTTCTTGCAGCCGTCCAAGTGGGTCAGGTCGTGGCACCCCTGTAAACCTCCAATAAGACGAATGTTCTCTGTTCTGCAATATTTCATCTTTATAGGAATGGAAAAGTGCTCCACCCTTAAAGGTCAGAGCCTTGAAGACGGGATCTCCTGCCTATTTCAGGCTAAAGAAAACATTCTTGTACAAAAGGTGCAGAGCTAGCAAGACTCAGCCCAGGAAACGGCACAGGGGTAAAGTCACAGCAACAGGTCTAATACGGATTCAGACTTGTTCCTTTCTGTCACAGAGGGACACGGTGAGAGCCGCCTGGCTATGGGCGGGAGGCACCGCGGGTGTCACGGGGAGGCATTGTGGCGCCCATCTTCTTGCCCCGGCCCCTCAGCCACACTGCACGCTCCACGCTCCTGCCCGCAGCCACCCTCGCGCCTCGTACCCGGCGCCTCCTGCGCCCGCGGGGCCTGGCCCGGCTCCTCTCCCTCCCATTCCTGCCCCGCAGCCAGGGATCAGGCTCCCAGAAGTGGAGCACAGCAGACCTCCGCCCACCCGGGGAGCGCCCCTCCCAGGCCTCTGGTGTCCCAACCCGTCTTCACAGCAGCGGCCAAGCGCCCCTGGCACGCGCCTCGCCTCTAGATCCAAGGTAAGTGGAGGGCAGCCGCCGGCTCCCGTGCAGACACGTTGACTTTAGACCACCGCCTGACCCTAAAGCTGGGGTCTAGACCTTGGACCTCCTGCTCCACACACGACAGCCACTGAATCGCACGGACCTCTGCCCACCTCCATGCAGCCTAACCCTGCAAAGCCAAGGGCAGCCTCAGGCCAGCGGGCACAGGCTTGTGTACCCCGGGTCACTGCAGAACCTTAAAACCACGGTCTCCTTGGATTCCAGGCTGGGGGAAGGTCAACCACTGATGCCCTCTGGGATTCCCGTGCCCCACCTGAGCCTGGGGACCCCACACCCAACCTTACGGCACTTAACTGTACTCCCCAGGAAGGGCAGGCACCGTCCCAGAGTCCACCGCCCAGAGTCATCCAGGCACTTGTGGGCTTTCCCTCCAAGTTCTGCACCTCGGATGCCCCTCAGCCTAGGGCACCGAATTCCGCGGTCTCTGCTTCTGTCAACCCTCAGGACAAAAAGGGCAACATTCACATCGGTCTGAGAGTGCCCGGGACCGCCACCCACCACCATCCAGGCCTTCCACAGCCAAGCCCCACGCAGCCAAGGGCCGCCTGAGATGAGCAGTCTGAGGCCCGTGCGCCCCCGTCTCCCTGTGGGCCCTGAGCCAGGCTCTCTAAGGATCCCCCTGTTGCAATCAGCAACAGCCACCCACAGTCAGACTGACCGCGGCCCCGCCTGCCCGCCCACCCTCCACCTGACGTCCCCAGCTTTTATTTGGCCCTTAGACAAGAACTGTCCTGGACCGCTGGTTCAAATCCAGCATGCCCACGGCCGTCTGCACGCCTCCACACAACCTCTCTGCTGCTGACTGCACATTTGGTGAGGGGCCGCTCCCCACCTGCCCCCAGAAAGCCACGTGTGCTGGCCCACCTGCACTCTCTAGCCCCTTGGCTTCTGAACTAGACTCCCCACCCGGCCAAGGAAAACCTCCAGCCTGAGAAGAGAGCCACCTGCACGTCCACGCCCCAGCAGAGCCTCCCTCTGGGCATTCCAGCTTAGACTGCCCACGCCGCACAGGGCAGCCACTGACCCCCATGCCCACAGGGCACCCCACCAGAACAAATCGGCTTATTCCGGAGAAAAAGCCACAAATGCAGAGGAATAAAGTTCCTGCTGTGCACACCAGAGCAACTTACCCCCTGTATGGAGCCCGTCGGCCCCCAGGTGTCAGTTCCTTGCTCCAACTGCCAAGCGCTGGGGCAGCCAGGGCCGCTTCGGGGAACTTTGAAGGGAAAGGCCTCAGGACAGGTGGTCCTGGCAGCTGCGAGGGCCTTACCCGAAAACTCCCCATGTGGAGCCGGCTGGCCATGAGCAGCAAGGCTCCTGGCTGGCTTCGCCAAAATCGTTACCGAGTCCAAACTCGTCCTGCCCACTGCACAACAGGCCAACAAATGAAGAGACAAGGTGTTGGGGCAAGGAATAGCGACTTTATTCGGAAAGCCAGCAGACCAAGAGGGCAGCCAACTAATGTTTTGGAAAACCATCCTCCTCAAGTCAGAGCACAGGCTCCTTTCATACTGAAACAGGGGAGGGGGTGTGGTTGGTTGCTGCAAACTTCTTGGTGTGGGAATTCTTTGTTCTTGAAGCTGTCCACGTGGGTCAGGTCCAAACCTCCAACAAAACAAATGTTGTTTTCTATTCTGCAACTTACTATCTTTAGGTAAGTTCACGAGTATGAATAGCCTTTTGCAGAAGCTGCAGAGCCCGCAGGACTAAGCCTAGAAGACGGGGCACAGGGTTAGAGCCGAAGGGGCAGCTCTAGCGCGGAGCCGGGCTTGCTCTTTCCTATTCCATTCCCAGGAAGAGGGCTTGGCCAGTGAGCAGAGCCCCAGTCTCTCCAGGTTCGCGGAGGGGTTCCCACACCCCAACCTGCCTAACCGCCTCCCCCGGGGCCCTGGGCTCTGCCTTCCCTCCCAGGCTGGTTCTGACAGGTCACCGGAAGGGCACAGCCTGGGGGAGGCTGTGTCCCCACCCACCCTGAGGGGTCCCTGCCCTGCCTGGGGGCTGTGCATTCCTGTTTCTAGTCGGTCCTGGGCCCGAGCAACCCCGGCTGGGCCCACAGTCTCGCCCAGACCCACGGCACCCGACGTACCGCTGTTCTCTGGAGGGCTTTCCACGGCGGCTGGGCGCGACTGGATCCCCGTCCCCTTCACAGAGGAGCGAACTGAGGCTCAGAGAGGTCAGGTCAGGACCTAGGTGGCACAGCCAGCATTCAGAGAGCCACCCTTCCCCCTTGTCACAAGAGCCCTGCCTCAATAAGGTAATTTTCTTCCCAGTTAGGCGAGTAACACATCCTTAGAGAGCCCACTGTCGGAATCTTGCCGGACCAGCTTAGAAGGTTGCAGGGATCTGGAACGACAGATCGCAGGTAAGCTCAGGTGGGCCCTGGGGTCTGGAGGTCCAGGTGGGTGGTCCCACAGTCCCGTAGGTGGCGGGGGCGGGGGCGGGGGCTCCCCAGGCTACCGGGAGAGCCCTGGGGCTGGGGGCAAGGGTCCTGGGCTTTGTTCCTGCCCCAGCCTCGTGGTCTTCATCTGAAAAACGGGGAGAAAGAACCCTTCCCTCTTACCTGGAGGGTAAAACAAGAGCATGAATTGGGAAGGTAGAATTCCTTTTTTTTTTTTTTAATTCGCGTGCTGTCAGTTACAATGTGTCAGTTTCTGGCACGCAGCACCATGTCCCAGTCATGCATATACACACATGTATTCGTTTTCGTATTCTTTTTCATTAAAGGTCATTACAAGATATTGAATATCAGAGTTTGGGGTTGTACCAGAGGCAATCGCACATATTGGCTGCTTTGGACTTTGTTCGTAACTGACTGATTGCAGAAATGGATGCGTTTATATTATCTCTTTGGATCACATCTCTGAGCAAAATCCTAAGCAGCAAAATTATCAGATTAAACAAGAATTTAAACACGCTTTGGCTCATGGCGTGCATCGCCGATTCTCTTTTCCAAAGGCTAGTTCTAACCTTGTTGCCACAAAAAGTGTTTCGGTTTCACTCCATCCTCATTAGTATTGAGTATTAGTTTTTCACACTATTTGGGCAAAGATTGAATAATGTATTTTTGGAATAAATTATAAATTTCAACGTTAAGTAAAAGAGTTTCAGGGACTTCACAAAGGAGGACATCAAAATGGCGGATACAGACCGAGAAGAGCTCTCACCGTCAGGACAGCATTGTTGGAGACCCGGGAGGGGTCGTCCCAGCCACGCTGCCCGTGGGCGCACAGATGCCTGTGGCCACCTGGGGAAACAGGATTGACTTTATTAATCTATTTTTTAAATTAAAGTGTAGTCAGTTTGATTTGTCACTTGAAGCTGCGGACCTGCAGACAGTAGGACCCACAATTCCACTCCTGGGCAAATGTTCCACGGAAATGCAAGCGTGTGCACCTGAGAGCTTGTTGGCAGTTGCCAGGGACCAGAAACAAGCCAGGCGGCTGTCATCACCAGACCAAATGAAGGCGGGGCAGCGTGCTCCTGAGCCGTGGGCCACTCGGCCCTGAGCACACGGGAGCCAGAGCTACTGGGAGCAGGGAGCGTTCACACATGTAGCACTGGTGAGGGGAGAAAAGGCACCAGGAGCACATGCAGGACGAGTCCACGCGTGCAAAGTGCAAGCCAGACGCTGCTGTTCAGGGCCACAGTCGGCACTGTAGAGAGATGCAAGGGGACGACTGCAATAAAAACAGAAGGGCGATCACTGCCCAGGGAGGTGGGGCACCCCCACCCGCCCCACCCCCCACAGGGCCCTCAGAGCCATCCTGCGGGAGAGGCACCCCCATTTAGAGACAGGACTCCAGTCTTGAATGGAAAATGCACTATTCTACATGAAAGCAACCTAAATGTCCATCAACAGAGGACTGGAGAAAGAAGCTGTGGTATCTTTATACAATGGAACACTACTCAGCCATAAAAAATAATAAAATAACACCATTTGCAGTAACATAGATGGACTGGAGATCATCATTCTAAGCGAAGTAAGCCAGAAAGAGAAAGAAAAATACCATATGATATCACTCATACGTGGAATCTAAAAAAAAAGAAAGAAAGAAAGGAAAAAGAGACACTAATGAACTCATCCACAAAACAGACACAGACTCACAGGCACAGTAAACAATCTTATGGTCACCGGGGAAAGGGGGTGGGAAGGAATAAATTTGGGAGTTTGAGATTTGCAAATGTTAACCACTCTATATAAAAATAGATTTTAAAAATTTCTTCTGTAAAGCACAGGGAACTATATTCAGTATCTTGTAATAACCTTTCATGAAAATGAATATATGTATGTATATGCATTGTGCTGTACACCTGAAACTGACACATTGCATCCGACTATACTTCAATTAAACAAAATTTTTTTTAAGAAAAAAAAGTGCACTCTTCTAATACCTGGTCTCGGATGCACGCTTAGGGAGGCCAGGTCGCTTAGTGATGAAACGGCTGGTTGTCAACTCCCCCCAGGGACGCTCAGCAGAGCGACGTGGTCTCTCCTAAGCACCTGCCTTGGAAGCCCCTCCTCCCAAGGGCAGAGACTCTGGTGCATCCATTCCTGTTCCCGGCGCCTGAAGCCACCCCCATACACGGTGAGGGTCAGCAGGATTTGCTTAGTGGATGAATGAACCGCTGGCTTTATGGCAAATACCATGGAAACCGATCCTAGGAATGGAGGTGGGAAGGGAGCAGAGCGAGAGGAAGAAGAATCCTCGAGTCTCAGGTAAGATCGGCCAACACGTGTTCAAATCCTGTCTCTGCCACTTTCTCGCTGTTTGACCGTGGACCGATGTTGTCACTGCTCTAAACCGTCATTTCCCCTTCTGTAAACGGGTGTGCAGCCCCGCCCTCACAGGACACTTCCTAGCAGGGTGCCAGACACCCACCCACCCCTTGTGAGGCGCAGCGGTCTTCACTCCCTCCCTAATGGGCAGGAGGCCCGGCCGTGCTGTCCCCATCAGGCGGCTGCTGAGTCCCTGGAAGCGTGTGACCTTCCAGGAGTTCCGTGCGTGTCACTCTGGTCATCAGAAAAGGGGCCGCTCACATCATCGGTGAGAAAAGCCCTCTGCCCCTGAAAGTGACCTGCCCACCGAGACAGGAAGGACCCTGGGAACTGAGAGCTGGCCGAAGCGCTCGGGCGCTGGCGGCGAGGGACAGTGCCACGGGCCTGGCAGGCGGCCTAGCAGGCAGCAGGGCGAGCCTGGCCCAGCGAGGGCCTGGTCCCGGAACCAGCTGAACTGCACGCTGGTGTCGCCAGGTTGAAGCTTTACAGAAAGTGCCTAAGTGCGCATCTCCCTGTGGGAGGCTGGAGCGCAAAGGAGGATGAACTTACAAAAATGGCAACTTTTAAAAATGCGTTTCCAGTGATTGCTGTTCTGTGCCAAGTTTCAGCCTGGTGGGAGTTTCATGTTGGAATTGCCAAGTAGGAGTTTAAAACGGACAAGTTAATCGTCCTTGTGCAGGGCTGAGGTGCTGAGCAAGGATCCGGGTACCCAAGCCAGATGCTTCCCGGGTCTGACAGCGCAGGAGGCCACAGGGAGAGCGAAGGGCACAGGAGCAGGGGGAGCAGGGGAGCAGGGGACCAGTCCCCATGTCCCCACCACAGTACACACCTGGGCAGGAGAGGCTCCAGGCCAGCCCCCAGCCCCTTGGGACCAGGATGCCAGAGTCTGCAGGAACATTAAGGGAGAGAGGGGAGCTATCTGGAGCCGAGAAAAGGAGACTTCGAGCTGCCTTCTCTCCCCCAACACCCAGCCCCAGCCCCAGCCCCCTTCATCAGCCAGCAGATCCCACCTGAGTCTCTCCCAGGCCTGGAACTGAAGGCGGTATAAGACATTTATTCCTTTGCCCCATCAACACCAAGGGCTTTATGGCCCCTTATCTTTGCCAGCAGATTCTAAGACCAGGCTGGGAACAAGTGAAGAATTCATCATGTATCCCTCCCTCCCTCCATCCATCCATTCACCTTCCCTCCTTCCATCCAGCCAGCCAGTCATCATGCATCCACCCACCCATCCACCCATCCATCCATTCCACACACCTTCACTGAGCACCAACTCTGAGCCCTGCCCTGTGCTGAGCAACAGGAGACAGAGATGCAGGAAACACAGTCACTGCTCCCAGAGAACAATGTATGCTCCAAGAGGGAAAAAGACAGAAGCACAAAACAAGGATACAAGAGAAAGGCTGGTCTGTGGTCTATATCCTGGGGGGACAACTGGAGTTACTGGTGTGATGAAAAGAAGGCTTGAGGGAATCAGCACCCCCCAAAATGTCGGGCATGCACCGTAACAGCTGGCAGGGGAGCAGGAGGACCAGGGAGGGTGATGAGCGGCAAAAATGTATTACATCCCAGAGGCTGAAGGACTCTTGGCCTTGAAGGTCGGCGGCAAAGACAGGTGCTGCGACTGCTGAGTGGGCGCTTGCAGCCGTGTTCAGGGAGCAGGTAGAATTCACATTGTGGGTCAGACAGTCGCCACGGGAGAGGGTGGCTGGGGTAGGTTGGTGGTCAAGCTCATCAAAGGTGAGCAGAACAAGGTTTTAGGTGGCTCATCCACCAGGAAATTGAAATCACCGAAGATAGTAAGGGGAGAGTGTTAGAGAGTAATGCTGTATTTGAAGGGCAGGGAGCACCCGTTTTCCATTAGAATAAGGTCAAGGGGATGTTCAGACGAAAGCTTTAAGGCATGAGGGTGTCGTGGCTCAAGAGGGCACAGTGGGAAGGTTTGGGGAGTCAGGGGATCAAGGAGAAGGGTCCAAGAAGGGCTGTGCAGAGCTGTGCGGATGAGGCTGGCCTGGAGACTTGGACGTGACATACAGAAGAAGTAGCAGAGTGAGATGAGTCCTGGGGCCCCGGTGGCAGGTGCTGGGAAGCACCTAGGGGCAGGGTTTTGCCCACTTATTCCTGCAAGAGGCGGGCAGCCGGCTGAGACGGCCTCCCGCAGGGACTCTCCTGGGTCCCAGAGGAAGCTGGGGTTTTACTCACGATGTGGGGCCCCGCTTGTCTGCAGGTGAGGGTAGTGGATACACTTGCTGCCCACCCAGACTCCTCCAGCATTGGAGCACCGCCTTCCCACCACTGCTCACAATCGTCCCCTCTCGGGGAGCTGCCGGTCCAGGAGGTCACGCCCTCCCCAGCACTCAGCCAATCACTGATTATCGGGGGGAAGAGAATGGCCCTCCTCGGGTGGTGCAGACTGTGGGGTTCTGGTCCTGCTCCAGCTCCCATGGGTCAGGCTCAAGCCAGTGTCTGGCTGAGACCCCGGTCTCCTTAGCTTCCCTCCCCGGCTCTCTCCCATCATGCCCCCTTCTCCACCCATCATGGGGGAGACACCACCTTTGGGACCCAGGAGAGGTTCTGCCCTGGGGAACCTGACCTGTGCAGAGAGGCTGGCCAGGGTCAGGCAAAAGGAGCTGTCGTCCACTGAGTTGAGGCTTGCTCGTCCAGTGTGTGGTCCAGCCCCCAGGTGGCCTTGCTCCGGCCCCTGATGGCACTCTCCACACTGAAGCTCTTCGCCCTCCAGTTTGCAGCACGATTCCCCGAGGTTCCTGCTCTCTCCGGCTTGTACTTCAGCATCCTCTGGAAGCATCTTCTCTCGCGCCGTGCTCTACTGTCCGAGCATTCCACAGTTTCCCTCTCTGCCCTCTTTCCCTGAGTGACCTCCATCTCTCTGCCTCTTCCGTGCTCGCCCCGCCTTCTGAGTGCCCAGTGCCAGGTCCATGTGGCTGCATGCCCTCTGGGGAGCCCTGCGGACATCCTGCAGAGGCCTCGCACTTAAGATGTTCAAAACTAGACACACCATCGTGTCTTCCCCCTCCCCCAAACTTATTCTCCCCTCGGGGTTCTCTAGCTCTGGAAACAGCCCCTGCCTCCATCTGGTCTCCCGAAGGAGAAACCTGGGAGTCAGCCTACGCTTCAGGCTCCAAACCTGAAGTGTCCCGTGGCCTCTCCCACCCCAACAGCCACAGTCAGCAAGTCCTTAAACACCCTCGCCTGAAACCATCCCGAATGTTGTGCCCCGCAAGACGAGCACTTTGCTCTGCTCAGAGAGACGTCCAACAAAGGCAGCTTCCCTTTGCTTAGCGGGCAATGAATCAGCTGGAACGCAGCCAATTTCTGCAACACCAAGAGCCGTGCCGTCCACCCTCATGACGGTCACAGGCTCCCCGGCGCCACATCTGCCGACACACCTTCATCCTCTTTGTAGGCAGGAGGAGTTTCTGCTCAATGTGGATGCCCAGGCCAGGCACAGCGAGTGCCATGGGGGGCATTGACCTGAATTGAGAAAAAGGAAGTTGGCAGTTGCTGAAAACCAGTGTCCAACCTGGGGGTTAAGCTGAGGGGCAGGGACGGCCTCCCCCGGAGCACCTGCTCTGTGCCAGGCCCCACCCTGAGTGCACTCACTCGCCCAGAGGAAAACTTCTTACTGTGACACGTAATGCACATGGAGGAGTGGGTAAGACGTGCGCCCAACTGGCAGGATGATGACAAGACGCACCCTGTGCCCCTCAATCCACGTTGAGAAGTCCAACCCAACCAGAAGTCTCTGGGGCCTCCTCCATCACGTCCTCCCCCTCCCTGGGCCCAGAAAACCGCTCTTCTAGTCACCCCCTTGCCTTTCATCATGGGTGACCAACTATGTATGTCCCCCTATAGCAGACCGTGAGCAGCGCACGCCAGCGTGGCCAGGTGAGCGGAAGGTGGTGTTGGCACCGCAAGGTGAAGGCTCCTGAGAGGGCTTTGATTCCAGTCTGGTCTCTGCTTCCCTGGGAGTTCCCTGAGCCCCTTCTGTCAAGCTCCTTATGCCAAGGGTCTCTTTCTTTTGAGACCCCCTATACCTGCCTGCACTCCCTCCCGGGCACACTCTGCATGCTCACAGGTCTTTCAGGTCATCCTTACCAGGTAGGCTTACCCTACCCCTTCTTGAAGCCCCAAAGAACGTAGTTGGTGCCTCTACCCGACCCTATAAGCTACTTGAGGGCAGCAGTCTGCTTCTCTGTTCTCTTTTCCCGTGTCCCGCTCTACCTCAGAGCACTGCCCAGCTCACTGGCCCAGGCCCCATCAGTCAGCTATATCCAATTGTGCTCAATTGACCAAAATACAGCAGGCGAGAAGAACCGGAACAGCTACACAAATATCTCCAATGCAGAACAAGTGCAGGGAAGATAAGAGTTCGGGACGCAATTCAAAGAGGGTGTTGGGGTGCGGGCACTAGCTGGGTCACGGGGGGAGAAGCTTCAGAGGGGACGGAGTGAGAAGGCCCAGGACACCTGGGACTCCCGGGCCTTGCTCGCTATTCTTCCTGACACATGAAGGAGGTGCCAAGACTCCGGACAGCAGTGACATTTATGCTGGGGTGCCAACCAGAGGCCACCTGCCTGAGTTCACAATGACAAGTGTTGACTGAAAGTAACACACAACCTAAAAGTGGAGATCCGTGTTTTATTCCACGGACTTTGTGAGGATGTCAAGCCTGGAAGGCAGCCTTTCAGATCTCTCTGAAGGACTGCTCCCAAGGGGTAAGGGAGGAGCCAGGATATATAGAGGGTTTTGCAGCAAAGACCAGGTAGTGGGAACATCAAAAGATTATTGTTAATTAAAGAAAACTAGATATCTCAAGTTAGTGGATTTAGCACTTTTCTGTGTATGGGAAGGTGCAAAAGTCTAAGCTCACTGAAATCATTCCTTTAACGTGCACCTAGCTATCCAGGGCCAGTGTTCTGTGCTGCTCACGCTAGTCCCCTCAGGGCACGTTGTTGCCGACGGCCGCAGACGCTGAGGGCTTGGCAGCGGGCAGCCAGTTTGTGTCCATCCTGAGCTCCCTCCAGCTCACCATCAGGGCAGCTGCAGTGGCTGACGGCTTGATGGCCACAGCATCCTTTGCGGGGATGGCCTGCAGCATTTTTCATCCATACAAGGAAAACTCAGAATCAATGCGCATGACATAGAAACAGTCTAAGGTATCAGCCACACACCCTTCCGATTTCTGAACTGTTCACTCTTTCTACGGAGTAGAGGGGAAAGGAGCCTCCAGTCAATTCGATTTCGGTATCTGGGTCTTCTCCAGCCAAGCCTCGGACAAACCGCAGCGCCGTCGGCAGCCGCCCTGGCAGGACCGCCGGCAGCGGGGCCAGGCGGCACGAGACGAGTGTGGTTGCCTAGGAGAC